GCTAGAGTCATCAAATGAGGAAAGGAAATGGCTTCCACACTGGAAAGAAAGTACTCAAATTATCCTTGTTGTTAGATAATATGATCTTATATTTGAGAAAACCTAAAGACAATCATTTCTACTAGTTTTTTGAGGAAACATTCAGAAAAGTTGTAGAATACAAAATCAACATACAAAAATCAGTAGCATTGCTACATGCCAAGAGCAAATGATCTGAAAAGGAAATCAAGAAAGTAATCTCATTTACAATAGCTAAAAGTAAAATTAAATACCTAGGAATAAATTTAACCAAAAAAGTGAAAGCTATAAAATATTAATGCAAGATGTTGAAGAGGACTCAAAGTTTTTTAAAATCCACATTCATGGATTGGAAGAATCAGTATTTTTTTTTAATTTTTTACTTTTTATTGCGTTTTAGGTTTTGGGGTACATGTGCAGAACATGTAAAATAGTTGCATAGGTACACACATGGCAGTGTGCTTTGCTTTTCTTCTCCCCTTCACCCACATTTGGCATTTCTCCCCATGCTATTCCTCCCCAGCTCCCCTCCCCTATTCCCCCCAATAGACCCCAGTGTGTAGTACTCCCTTCCCTGTGTCCATGTGTTCTCATTGTTCATCACCCGCCTATGAGTGAGAATATGCGGTATTTCATTTTCTGTTCTTGTGTCAGTTTGCTGAGAATGATGTTCTCCAGATTCATCCATGTCCCTACAAACGACACGAACTCATCATTTTTTATTGCTGCATAATATTCAATGGTGTATATGTGCCACATTTTCCCAGACCAGTCTATCATCAATGGGCATTTGGGTTGGTTCCAGGTCTTTGCTATTGTAAACAGTGCTGCAATGAACATTCATGTGCATGTGTCCTTATAGTAGAATGATTTATAGTCCTTTGGATATATACCCAGTAATGGGATTGCTGGGTCAAATGGAATTTCTATTTCTATGTCCTTGAGGACTCGCCACACCGTCTTCCACAATGGTTGAACTAATTTACACTCCCACCAACAGTGTAAAAGTGTTCCTATTTCTCCACATCCTCTCCAGCATCTGTTGTCTCCAGATTTTTTAATGATCGCCATTCTAACTGGCGTGAGATGGTATCTCAATGTGGTTTTGATTTGCATCTCTCTAATGACCAGTGATGATGAGCATTTTTTCATATGTTTGTTGGCCTCATGTATGTCTTCTTTTGTAAAGTGTCTGTTCATATCCTTTGCCCATTTTTGAATGGGCTTGTTTGTTTTTTTCCTGTAAATCTGTTTGAGTTCTTTGTAAATTCTGGATATCAGCCCTTTGTCAGATGGGTAAACTGCAAACATTTTTTCCCATTCTATTGGTTGCCGATTCACTCTAGTGACTGTTTCTTTTGCCGTGCAGAAGCTGTGGAGTTTGATTAGGTCCCATTTGTCTATTTTGGCTTTTGTTGCCAATGCTTTTGGTGTTTTGTTCATGAAGTCCTTGCCTACTCCTATGTCCTGAATGGTTTTGCCTAGATTTTCTTCTAGGGTTTTTATGGTGCCAGGTCTTATGTTTAAGTCTTTAATCCATCTGGAGTTAATTTTAGCATAAGGTGTCAGGAAGGGGTCCCGTTTCTGCTTTCTGCACATGGCTAGCCAGTTTTCCCAACACCATTTATTAAAGAGGGAATCCTTTCCCCATTGCTTGTTTTTGTCAGGTTTATCAAAGATTGTATGGTTGTAGATATGCTTCGTTGCCTCCGATGCCTCTGTTCTGTTCCATTGGTCTATATCTCTGCTTTGGTACCAGTACCGTGCTGTTTTGATTACTGTAGCCTTGTAGAATAGTTTGAGGTCCGGTAGTGTCGGATACCTCCCGCTGTGTTCTTTCTGCTTAGAATTGACTTGGCTATGCGGGCTCTCTTTTGGTTCCATATGAAGTTCAAGGTGGTTTTTTCCAGTTCTGTGAAGAAAGTCAGTGGTAGCTTGATGGGGATAGCATTGTTTCTGTAAGTTACTTTGGGCAGTATAGCCATTTTCACAATATTGATTGGAAGAATCAATATTGTTAAACTGTCCATAATACCAAAAGTAATCTACAGATTCAATGCAATCCCTATCAAAATATCAATGACCTTCCTTACAGAAATAGAAAAGAAAATTCCAAAATTTATATGGAATCACAAAAGATCCAGAATAACCAAAGCTATCCTGAGCAAAAAGAACAAAATTGGAGAATCACATTATCTGACTTCAAATTATACTATAGAGCTATAGTAACCAAAACATCATGGTGATGCCATAAAAACAGACCTTTAGACTAATGGAAAAGAATAGAGAATCCAGAAACAAATCCATGTATCTACAGTGAACTCACTTGCAACAAAGGTGCCAAGAACACACAATGAGAAAAGGACAGTCTCTTCAATAAATACTGCTGAGAAAACTGGATATCCACATGCAGAAAAATAAAACTACACCCCCATCTCTACAAAAATCAAAATGGATTAAAGACAAATCTAAGACCTCAAACGATGAAATGACTACAAGAAAGTATTAGGGAAACTTTCCAGGACATTGGACTGGGCAAAGATTTCTTTCAAATACCCCCCAAGCACAGGCAACCAAAGCAAAACTGCACAAATGTGATCACATCAAGTTAAAAAACTTCTGCACCACAAAGGAAACAATGAAATGGAGACACAACCCACAGAATTGGAGTAAATATTTGTAAACTATCCATCTGACAAGGGATTAATAACCAGAATATATAAGGAGCTCAAACAACTCTATAGGAAAATAATAATTCAAATCAAAAATGGACAAAAGATTGGAATAGACATTTCTTAGAAGACGACATACAAGTGGCAAATGGATATATGAAAATGGGCTCAATACCACTGATCATCAGAGAAATGCAAATCGAAACTACAATGAGATATTAGCTAACCTCAGTTAAAATGTCTTTTATCCAAAAGAAAGGCAATAACATGCTGGCAAGGATATGTAGAAAAGGGAACCCTCATACACTGTGGTTGGGAATGGAAATTAGTACAATCACATTGGAGAACAGTTTGAAGGTTCCTCAAAAACTAAAAATAGAGCTACCATATTAACTAGCAATCCTACTGGATACTTCTAGGTATATACCCAGAAAAAATACTATTAAGTATGTACCCAAGAGAAAGGAAATCAGTATGTCAAAGAGATATCTGCACTCTCATGTGTATTGCAACACTATTCACAATAGCCAAGATTTGGAAGCAATCTAAGCATCCATCAATAGACAAATGGGTTGACCCAGCAATCCCATTACTGGGTATATATCCAAAAGACTATAAATCGTTCTACTATAAGGACACATGTACACGAATGTTCATTGCAGCACTGTTTACAATAGCAAAGACCTGGAACCAACCCAAATGCCCATTGATAATAGACTGGATTGGAAAAATGTGGCACATATACACCATGGAATATTATGCAGCAATCAGAAATGATGAGTTTGTGTCGTTTGTAGGGACATGGATGAATCTGGAAAACATCATCCTCAGCAAACTGACACAAGAACAGAAAATGAAACACCGCATATTCTCACTCATAGGTGGGTGATGAAAAATGAGAACACATGGACACAGAAAGGGGAGTACTAAACACTGGGGTCTATTGGGGGGGAAAGGGGAGGGTCAGTGGGAGGGGGAGGTGGGGAGGGATAGCCTGGGGAGAAATGCCAAATGTGGGTGAAGGGGAGAAGGAAAGCAAAGCACACTGCCATGTGTGTACCTACGCAACTGTCTTGCATGCTCTGCTCATGTACCCCAAAACCTATAATCCAATAAAAAATTAAAAAAAAAAATAGACAAATGGGTAAGGAAAGTGTTGTACACATACACAATGGAGTACTGATTAGCCATAAAAAGGAGAACCTTTCATTTGCTACAACATGGATGAAAAATAGGGGTCATTATGTTAAATAAAATAAACCAAACACAGGCAAACAACCAATTGTACATTCTCACTAATAAGTGGAGCTAAAAATTAGAACAATTGAACTCATGAAGATAGCAGAATGATGGTTACCAAAAGCTGGGAAGGGTAGCCAGGAGTGTGTAGGGGGGTGATTAATGGGTTCAAAATACATGAGATAGAATGAATAAGATCTAGTATTTTATAGCATAACAGGGTGACTACAGACAATTTATCATACATTTTAAAATAATTAAAAAACATATAATTGGATTGTTTGTAACACAAAGAAGTGATAAATTCTTGAGGTGATGGATACCCCCACTTACCCTGATGTGATTATTACAGACCGTATGCTATACCTGTGCATCAAAATATCTCATGTAGCCCATAAATACATACGTCTACCACAGACACAGAAAATTTAAAATTTAAAACAAAATTACTTGGGTAAATTTTATATTCTGTGTATTTAACGATTAAAAATTAATATAACCTGAGAATGTCCCTAGCTCGGTGATAAGAACATAGTTGGTTATCAGATGTCAATTCCCTTCTCACCACTCACTGGTGGGATACTTACCTCGGGGTCATGCGAAATAAATCACTCACCTGCAGATGTTAAAAAAATAATAGTCACATCAGTCACATGAAAAGAATTAGCTTCTGGAAGTAAGAAACAGATGACGGCACGTGAGGGAGAGCACCAGCCACTATTCTCTGCATCCAACCCTCCTTAAAAGCAGCTTCCAGACATGGGCAAAGCATCTAGGTGTGGGGTGATAACCAGTGTCAAAGAAAGCAGCCCGGACTCCCCCATCTTGCAGATATTTTACTAAATCAGATAATGAAGACATGGGAGGGGGTGCGCACCCAGGACCACAGGCTACTGGGCTTCCATTACTTCCCAGTCTCATAGAAGCCCCCTGGCTGTCCAGAGCCTCTGAAGCCCCCCGCCAGCCCAACTCTGACTTCTCTCCTCCCACCTCTCTTCCTTCTCAGCGGCATTTCTCCACACACCCTTTCAAGGCTCCGCTCCTCCCACGGCTCCTCCCTCTCTCCTCTCACGGCTCCTCCTCCCTCCCCTTTCCCGTCAGACTTGCCTCTGAGCGGAAACTGAAAGTGAAATAGGGAGCTGGCTACCCGCGTTGAGTCCCCTGTAAAGGTGAGTGAACCTCACTAAATCAAGGAACCCCTGCCCTCCTAGTGGACCTCTCCCCTGCCCCAGGGCTGCAGAGCCCCTTCCAACCAGTCTCCATCCTTGAGCCGGTCCCATTTGCCCCTTCTCCCACCGGGGATCCCTCAATCCAAGCCCCTCTGTGCTTCCGAGGCTGGTCTCCTAACCTGGAAGGAGGCTGGGGTATGGACATGACTGCTGCGGAGTTACCCAGAAGGGGTAGGGTTCCGGGCACTTGGGAGGAGACTGGGGTGTGGGACGTGACTGCGGAGTTACCCAGAAGGGGAAGGGTTCCGGCTGCCCCCTACTTGGGAGGAGGCTGGGGTGTGGACGTGACTATGGAGTTACCCAGAAAGAGAAGGGGCCTGGCTGCCCCATTGCTGGCACCTGAGCTGGGATGAGAGCTGGGTGCAGCTGAGAGAGCCAGCACTACTGCCTAGCCAGGAGCGTGGGGGAGATCTGCAATCCTGGAGACTCCCAGGTCCAAAAGTCCTCCAGAGGTGAGGGGCAGGCTGCTTAGGATGTTCAACCAGAAATGTATAGGCCTTCAAAATTACTCTTTGTCATAGAAGAAGTGATGTCAGGAACTAAACTAAGTTTGGAGCAGCTGAAAGAAGAGCCCAGGGAGTGCTGGCCACAGTTCCTGTTGCTCTGTGTGAATACATTCACATATACATGCTCATGTACATACATATACACCTGACTTTTGCCAATATTGGAATGATTAATGAAGATGTATTCAAAGCATGTGTAGTATCTCTGGCACATGGAAGGTACATGGTTAAAAGTAGCTATTTTATGACTAGTTTCTCAGCAACATGGAGGCCTGCTGGTACCAGAAAGAAGATGAATGGGCACTGAGGGTTTAAGCAGGAATGGACATGAGAGAACTGTCAGCTTTATGAGGTTCTTGCCAATTTTCACTCCCTCCTTTAGGGACTCAGTTTCTCCTTCTGTCCCAGTGGATCAATGGGCCAAACAGTGGAGGAGTTCTTGTTATTCAGAAGAATAAACTTATTAAACAAACTATTTGGTCCATGCAAAAGTAATACTGTTTTTGCCATTAATTATTTTTCCATTAATATTATGCCCTTTTTTTTTTTTTTTTTGGAGATGGAGTCTCCCTCTGTTGCCTGTGCTGGAGTGCAGTGGCACCAACTCAGCTCACTGCAACCTCCACCTCCCAGGTTCAAGCAATTCTCCTGCCTCAGCCTCCTGAGTAGCTGGGATTACAGGCACCCACTACCACTCCCAACTATTTTTTGTATTTTTAGTAGAGACAGAGTTTCACCATGTTGGTCAGGCTGGTCTCAAACTCCTGACCTCAGGTGATCCACCCACCTCGACCTCCCAGAGTGCTGGGATTACAGGCGTGAGCCACCATTTTTATTTTTTTATTTTCCGTTTCATCATTTTGTTTTTCTTTTTTTAGTTTTAATTTTTCTGGGCATGTAGTAGGTATATTTATGGGCTACATGGAACATTTTGATACAGGTATACAGAGCCACCATTTTTATTTTTTTATTTTCCTTTGCATCATTTTGTTTTTCTTTCTCTAGTTTTAATTTTTCTGGGCACATAGTAGGTATATTTATAGGCTACATGGAATATTTTGATATAAGTATACAATGTGTAATAACCACATCAGGATAAATGGGGCATCTAGCACCTTAAGCATTGATCATCTGTGATAAACTATGCAATTATACTCTTTCAAATGTACAATTAAATTATTGACTATCGCCACCTGTTATGCTATCAAATACTAGATCTAATTCACTCCATTTTTGTACCCATTAACCATCCTACTTTTCCCCCAACACATCCTCCCTACTATTCTTCCCAGCCTCTGGTAACCATCTTTCTATTATCTAACTCCATGAGTTCAATTGTTTTGATTTTTAGCGCCTACAAATGAGAACATACAATGTTTGTCTTTCTGTGCCTGGCTTATTCCACTTAATGTAGTGACCTCCAGTTCCATTCATGTTGTTGTAAATGACAGGATCTCATATTTTATGGCTGAATAGTACTCCATTTTGTATATGTACCACATTTTATTTATCTATGTATCTGTTGATGGACACTTAGGTTGCCACCAAATCTTGGCTATTGTGAAACATACTGCAATAAACATGAGTGTGCAGATATCACTTTGATACAGTGATTTCCTTTCTTAGGGGTATATACCTAGCAGTGGGATTGCTGGATCATATGGTAACTCTATTTTCAGTTTTTTGAAGAACCTCCAAACTGTTCTCTGTAGTGATCGTACTAATTTACATTTCCACCAACAGCTTATGAGGGTTCCCTTTTCTCCACACCCTCACCAGCATTTGTTATAGCCTGTTGGATAAAAGACATTTTAACTGAGGTGAGATATCTCATTGTAGTTTTGATTTGCATTTTACTGATAATCAGTGATGTTGAGCAACTGTTCATATGCCTGTTTGTCATTTGTATGTCTTTTGAGAAATGTCTATTCAGATCTTTTGTCCATTTTTGAACCAGATTATTACATTTTTTTCCTATAGAGTTGTTTGAGCTCCTTACATATTCTGATTATTAATCCCTTGTCAAATGGATAGTTTGCAAATATTTACTCCCATTCTGTGGGTTGTCTCTTCACTTTGTGGATTATTTTCTTTGCTGTGCAGCAGGTTTTCAATTTGATGTGATCCTATTTGTCCAATTTTGCTTCGGTTGCCTATGCTTGTGGGACATTTAAATGAAATCTTTGCCCAGTCCAATGTCCTGGAGTGTTTCTCCAATGTTTTCTTGTAGTCCTTTCATAATTTGAGGTCTTAGATTTAAGTCTTTAATCCATTTTGATTTTATTTTTGTATATGGTGAGATAGGGGTATAGTTTCATTCTTCTGCATGTGGATATCCAGTTTTCCCAGCAGCATTTATTGAAGAGACTGTCCTATCCTGTCTGTTCTTGGCACCTTTGTTGAAAGTGAGCTCACTGTGGATGTCTGGATTTGTTTCTGGGTTTTTTACTCTGTTTTATTGGTCTATGTGTCTGTTTTTATGCCAGTACCATGCTGTTTGGGTTACTTTGGCTCTATAGTATAATTTGAAGTCAGGTAATGTGATTCCTCCAGTTTTGTTCTGTCTGCTCAGGATAGCTTTGACTATTCTGGGTCTTTTGTGTAAATTTTAGGATTTTTTTTCCTATTTTTGTGAAGAATGCCATTGGTATTTTGATAGGAATTATGTTGACTTTTTGTTTTTCTTACACAGACTTTCTCATGTTCTCTATTCCCTTTCTTCTCTCCCAGGCAGCCCCACAAAGGTCTCCACACTACTGCTTAACAGGAAGGGCACAGCTATGGCTTCAGCAGCACGCTTGACAATGATGTGGGAGGAGGTCACGTGCCCTATCTGCCTGGACCCCTTCGTGGAACCTGTGAGCATCGAATGTGGCCACAGCTTCTGTCAGGAATGCATCTCTGAGGTTGGGAGAAATGGGGGTGGTGTCTGTCCTGTGTGCCGGCAGCGCTTTCTGCTCAAGAATCTCCGCCCCAACCGACAGCTAGCCAACATGGTGGACAACCTTAGAGAAATCAGCCAGGATACCAAAGAGGGCACACAGGGGGAACGGTGTGCAGTGCATGGAGAGAGACTTCACCTGTTCTGTGAGAAAGATGGGAAGGCCCTTTGCTGGGTGTGTGCCCAATCACGGAAACACCGTGACCACCCCATGGTCCCTCTTGAGGAGGCTGCACAGGAGTACCAGGTGAGGCCTTAGTGACACAAACAGGAGGAAAGAAGATGGGCCCTGATGAGTGCTTTGTTTTCAGAGTGGGTAATGGGAAGGGAACACCTCTGTATCAGAGGAGTTAGAGAAAGGAAGAATTTACCTCTCTCCATGTCTAATGTAGGAGGAGAATTATAAGCTAAACCCAACCTTCTCATTCCCCAGGAGTGAGAGATATGCATGAGAAAATGCTCAAAGATTACCCACACCCTATTACTTGGTCTGTCTAGAGACTAATATGCTGTCTTTCTCTGCAGGAGAAGCTCCAGGTGGCATTAGGAGAATTGAGAAGAAAGCAGGAGTTGGCCGAGAAGTTAGAAGTGAACATTGCAATGAGGAGAGCGGACTGGAAGGCAAGAATGACAGACTTATGGGGATCTTAGGCTAGAAGGCTGGGCAGGGTCCAGGGTCCTTGACTCACAGGCTTAACTGTAGCTGTGCCTGTCTAAGGAGTGAGAGAGTTGGTCCGTTTCACTCTCCAGCAACCATCTGCCCTCTAGGTTTCCAGATAGAGGGGAATAAAAATGATGCAGGTTCAAAAGAGAGCTCCCCATTAGGCCTGAGGATCAAGAATCCCGGAAGACGGTGCTGAGAGGATCTAGCTATACCCTAAAGTTTCGAGCTCCTCTGCGTCCAGTCGCAGAGGGGTGATGGCATCAGCACCTGGGTGTCTGAGACAAATATCCTAAGAGAGAAACCCAACTGCTAGCTAAGTGTTTCAGGAAGTGACAAGGGCTATGAGGAATAAACTTAAGAAAACCATCAAGGCCCAAAGTAGGAATACCCGTCAGACCAGGTGGTTACTTGACAACGTCCAGATCTCTGGTCCAAAATATAATGAAGAATCAGTGTTTTGTTCTGCACTGATGATTTCCTAGGGGAGGTGGGTCATGTCAGGGATGAAAGGGGACGGGAAGGAGCCCAATAGATCCCAGAAGAGGAACATTTGGGATTGAGGTAGGGTGTGAGTCGGGTTGTGATGACAAAACACAGGAAAGGCAAAGAATGTCCCCAACCCCCCTTTCCCAGGACTTAGAGGTTGTGGCATGAGCATGGCTTTGTGAGGTTTTAGGAGGTAGGAACAGGTGTTTTTTTCTCAGTAACTCACTGAGACATGAAGACACAGTGGCACATTTGAGTGGTGACTGGGTTTGGAGGAGAGGTTGAAAAAAGTCCTCGATGCCATATATTCATGTAGCTGTGGTTGTGGGCCAGCTACAGTGTGCCCTCACCAAGTCCATTCCCCTCACCGTACCAGAAAACCTCACCCACCTACCTCCTAAGCAAAACTGCATGTGTGTATGTATGTGTTCCACCAGAGTGGAGTCTCCAGGGGATAGGAATAGGTACCAATACCTCCATTCCCAAAGCTTGGGAGATGTTCATAAAAACCACCTCTCTTTCCCTTGACACTAAAGAGAAAGGTGGAAACACAGAAATCTAGGATTCATGCAGAGTTTGTGCAACAAAAAAACTTCCTGGTTGAAGAAGAACAGAGGCAACTGCAGGAGCTGGAGAAGGATGAGTGGGAACAGCTGAGAATCCTGGGGGAGAAAGAGGCTGAGCTGGCCCAGCAGAGCGAGGCCCTGCAAGAGCTCATCTCAGAGCTGGAGCGAAGGCGGCACGGCTCAGCACTGGAACTGCTGCAGGTGAGACAGGGAGGTGTTCCCTCCTTCTTTTTATTATACTTTAAGTTCTGGGATACATGTGCAGAATGTGCAGGTGTGTTACATAGGTATACACATGCTATGGTGGTTGGCTACATCCATCACCCCATCATCTACATTAGGTATTTCTCCTAATGCTGTCAGGGAGGGGTTCCCTTCTAAGATTGAAGGAATAACTGAAAAAGGCCAGAGCTATCTGGAACTGCCATTTGAACAAATGGACACCTGGCCCCTGGAATGTTCTTAAATAAAGTGGAATTCAAACCCATGAATGGTTTGGGTTCAAGGCACAAATGGTGCAGATTTAGGAGGAAATATTCCATTCAGCAGTTAACAGAAATGGCCGTACCTGGTACCTGCTTTCCCTACACACTCAGTGTGAGACCTTGAGAGTTCCTTTATTATTGTGAGTACTCAGTTTCTCATGTGTTAAATGAGCATAATAATAGTACATGTCTCAAATGATTTTTTATGAGCATTAAATGATCAGATCCACTAACCTTCTTAGATGAGTGTCTGCCCATGGGTAAGTTTTAATAAATGTAGTATAACTAAAAACACCAAACTGAAAATTAAGACAGAGTAGCCAAGCCCTAGCCCTGCAACCAGTTCTCTCTGTAACTCTTGGTTGAGGGGTTTTCTGATCCTAGACATAATTTCTCTGTGAAACAAGAGAGAGGAAGTGGACTAAATAACAAGGGTTCTCGAACATTGAGTCATAAATGCATCTTTATACTTTCTGCTATTTCTGTGACCTTCCTAAATGATTTTAACATGTTATTTTTCTTTAAATCATCTCTTTTCTCTGAGCATTTTCTTAAAAAAAAAATTGTCTAGAGAAATAGCCAAAAAATCATGTGTAGACATGTTACAGATATATTTTTCTAATTTATTTTATAGCAATCATAATATTAACTGCAAATTCTTAAATAGCTCATATTAGCTGCCAGGCATTCAAGTAGGTGCTATTTTCTACATTTCATAGGTGTGAAAGCTAAGGTGCAGAGATATTAAGAGATTTAGTTAGGAACTAAAGCTAAATGGTTTGACAATGTTGACCCAAATAGTAAGAAGTAAAGATGAAAATAAGCACAGGACTTTTAAAAAGCTCAGCACATGCTGTACTTAGAATCATCTTGCACCAGTGATACGTTCGCCTCACTGTAGGAAACTATAGACTAGATGGTCTCACAAGTTCCTTCTGCTCTAACATTTTTTTTTTCTCTTACACTTTAAGTTCTGGGGCACATGTGCAGAATGCGCAGGTTTGTTGCATAGGTATACAAGTGCTATGGTGGTTTGCTGCACCTGTCAACCCATTATCTACATTAGGTACTTCTCCTAATGTTCTCCCTCCCCTACCCCCACCGCCACCCCCCAACAGGCCCCAGTCTGTGATGTTTCCCTCCCTGTGTGTTCTCATTGTTCAGCTCCCACTTCTGAGTGAGAACATAATGGTGTTTGGTTTTCTATTCTTGTGTCAGTTTGCTGAGAAAGATAGTCTCCAGCTTCATCCATGTCCCTGCAACGGACGTGAACTCATCCTTTTTTATGGCTGCATAGTATTCCATGGTGTATATGTGCCACATTTTCTTTATCCAGTCTATCATTCATGGGCATTTAGGTTGGTTCAAAGTCTTTACTATTGTGAACAGTGCCACAATAAACATACATGTGCATGTGTCTTTATAATAAAATGAGTTACAATCCTTTGGGTGTATACCCAGTAATGGGATTGCTGGATCAATGGTACTTCTAGTTCTAGATCTTTGAGGAATCACCACACTGTCTTCCACAATGGTTGAACTAATTTACACTCCTACCAACAGTGTAAAAGCATTACTATTTCTCCACATCCTCTCCAGCATCTGTGGTTTCCTGACTTTTTAATGATCGCATTTCTAACAGGTGTGAGATGGTATCTCACTGTGGTTTTGAGTTCCATTTCTCTAATGACTATTGATGATGAGCTTTTTTCATGTTTGCTGGCTGCATAAATAACTTTTGAGAAGAGTCTGTTCATATGCTTTGCCCAGTTTTTGATGGGGTTGCCTTTTTTTTTGTAAATTTAAGTTCATTGTAGATTCTGGATATTAGCCCTTTGTCAGATGGATAGATCACAAAAAAATTTCTCCTATTCCTTAGGTTGCCTGTTCACTCTCATGATAGTTTCTTTTATCATGCAGAAGTTCTTTTCTATTTTGGCTTTGTTGCCATTGCTTTTGGTTTTTTAGTCATAAATTCTTTGCCCATGCCTATGTCCTGATGATATTAACTAGGTTTTCTCCTAGGGTTTTTATGGTTTTAGGTCTTACGTTTAAGTCTGTAATCCACCTTGAGTTAATTTTTGTATAAGATGCAAGGAAGGGATCCAGTTTCAGGTTTCTGCATATGGCTAGCCAGTTTTCCCAACACCATATATTAAATAGGGAATCCTTTCCCCATTGCTTGTTTTTGTCAGGTTTGTCAAAGATCAGATGGTTGTAGATGTGTGGCATTATTTCTGAGGCCTCTATTCTAGTCCATTGATCTATATATCTGTTTTTGTACCAGTACCATGCTATTTTGGTTACTGAAGCCTTGTATAAAGTCAAGTAGCATGATACCTCCAGCTTTTTCTCTTTGCTAGGATTGTCTTGGCTATCTGGGCTCTTTTTTGGTTCCATATGAAATTTAAAGTCGTTTTTTCTAATTCTGTGAAGAAAGTTAATGTTAGCTTGATGGGGATAGCATTGAATCTATAAATTACTTTGGGCAGTATGGCCATTTTCACAGTATTGATTCTTCCTGTCCATGAGCATGGAAAATTTTTCTACATGTTTGTGTCCTCTCTTATTTCCTTGAGCAGTGGCTTGCAGTTCTCCTTGAAGAGGTCCTTCGCATTCCTTGTAAGTTGTATTCCTAGGTATTTTATTCTCTTTGTAGCAATTGGGAATGAGAGTTCACTCATGATTTGGCTGTTTGTCTGGTACTGGTGTATAGGAGTTCTTGTGAGTTTTGCACATTGATTTTGTATCCTGAGACTTTGCTAAAGTTGCTAATCAGCTTAAGGAGATTTTGGGCTGAGATGCTGGGGTTTTCTAAATATACAATCATGTCATCTGCAAACAGAGACAATTTGACTTCCTCTTTTCCTAACTGAATAACCCTTTATTTCCTTCTCTTGCCTGATTGCCCTGGCCAGAGCTTCTAATACTATGTTGAAAAGGAGTGTTGAGAGAGGCCATTCTTGTCTTGTGCCTGTTTTCAAAGGGAATGCTTTCTGTCTTTGCCCATTCAGTATGATATTGGCTGTGGTTTGTCACAAATAGCTCTTATTATTGTGAGATACATTCCATCAATACCTATTTATTGAGAGTTTTTAACATGAAGGGCTGTTGACTTTTGTTGAAGGCCTTTTCTGCATCTATTGAGATAATCATGTGGTTTTTGTCACTGGTTCTGTTTATGTGATGGGTTACATTTATTGATTTGCATATGTTGAACCAGCCTTGGATCCCAGGGATGAAGCCAACTTGATCGTGGTGGATAAGCTTTTTGATGTGCTGCAGGATATGGTTCGCCAGTATTTTATTGAGGATTTTTGCATTAATGTTCATCAGGGATATCAGCCTGAAATTTTATTTTTTGTTGTGTCTGCCAGGTTTTGGTATCAGGATGATGCTGACCTCATTAAATAAGTTAGGGAGAATTTCATCATTTTATATTGTTTGGAATAGTTTCAGAAGGAATGGTACCAGCTCCTCCTTGTACCTCTGTTAGAATTTGGCTGTGAATCCATCTGGTCCTGGACTTTTTTTGGTTCATAGGCAATTAATTACTGCCTCAATTTCAGAGTTGGTTGTTGGTCTGTTTAGGGATTTGACTTCTTCCTGCTTTAGTCTTGGGTGGGTGTATGTGTCCAGGAATTTATTCATTTTTCTAGATTTTTTTTGGTTTATTTGCAGAGAGGTGTTCATAGTATTCTCTGGTGGTAGTTTGTATTTCTCTGGGATTGGTGATGATATCCCTTTTATCATTTTTTTTTTGACATCTATTTTACTCTCTTTACTTCTTTATTAGCCTGGCTAGCAGTCTATCTATCTTGCTGATACTTTCAAAAAGCCAGCTCCTGGATTCACTGATTTTTTTTGAAGAGTTTTTGTGTCTCTATCTCCTTCAGTTCTGCTCTAATCTTAGTTATTTCTTGTCTTCAGGTTGCTTTTGAAATGTTTGCTTTTGCTTTTCTAGTTCTTTTCATCATGGTGTTAGGGTGTCAATTTTAGATCTTTCCTGCTTTCTCTTGTGGGCATTTAGTGCTATAAACTTCCCTCTACACACCACTTTAAATGTGTTTTAGAGATTCTGGCATGTTGTGTCTTTGTTCTCATTGGGATCAAAGAACACCTTTCTTAATTTCGTTATTTATCCAGTAGTCGTTCAGGAGCAGGTTGTTCAGTTTCCATGTAGTCCTGCAGTTTTGAGTGAGTTTCTTAATCCTGAGTTCTAATTTGATTGCACTGAGATCTAAGAGATTGTTATGATTTCCATTCTTTTACATTTGCTGAGGAGTGTTTTACTTCCAATTATATGGTCAATTTTAGAAAAAGTATGATGTGGTGCTGAGAAGAATGTATATTCTGTTGATTTGGGGTAGAGAGTTCTATAGATGTCTGTTAGGTCCACTTGGTCCAGAGGTTAGTTCAAGTCCTGGATACCCATGTTAATTTTCTGTCTCGTTGATCTAACATTGACAATGGGGTGGTAAAGGCTCCCACTATTATTGTGTGGGAATCTAAGGCTCTTTTTAGGTCATTAAGAACTTGCTTTACGTATCTGGGTGCTCCTGTATTGGGTGCATATATATTTAGGATAGTTAGCTGCTCTTGTTGCATTGATCCATTTACCATATGTAATGTTCTTGTCTCTTTTGATCTTTGTTGATTTAAAGTCTATTTTATCAGAGACTAGGATTGCAACCCCTCCTTTTTTTTTTATTTCACTTTCCATTTGCTTGGCAAATTTTCCTCCATCCCTTTATTTTGAGCCTATGTGTGTCTTTGCATGTAGATGGGTCTTCTGAATACAGCACACTGATGGGTCTTGACTTTTTATCCAATTATCCAGTCTCTGTCTTTGAATTGGGGCATTTAGCCCATCAACATTTAAGGTTAATATTGTTATGTGTGAATTTGATCTTGTCATTATGATACTAGCTGATTGTTTTTCCCATTAGTTGATGCAGTTTCTTCATAGCATCAGTGGTCTTTACAATTTGGTATGTTTTTACAGTGGCTGGTACCAGTTGTTTCTTTCCATGTTTAGTTCTTCCTTCAGGAGGCCTTCTAAAGCAGTCCTGGTGGCTGACAAAATCTCTAAGCATTTTCGTGTCCATAAAGGATTTTATTTCATCTTCGTTTAAGAAGTTTAGCTTGGCTGAATATTAAATTCTGGGTTGAAAATTCTTTCCTTTAAGAATGTTGAATATTGGCCCTCACTCTCTTCTGGCTTGTGGGGTTTCTGCAGAGAGATCCGCTGTTAGTCTGATGGACTTCCCTTTGTGGGTAACCTGACCTTTCTCTCTGGCTGCCCTTAACATTTTTTCCTTTATTTCAACCTTGGTGAATCTGATGACTGTGTGTCTTGGTGTTGCTCTTCTCAAGGAGTATCTTTGTGGTGGTCTCTGTATTTCCTGAATATGAATGTTGGCCTGCCTTGTTAGGTTGGGGAAGTTCTCCTGAATAATATCCTGAAGAGTGTTTTCCAACTTGGTTCAATTCTCCCCATCACTTTCAGGTATACCAATCAAACAGATTTGGTCACTTCACATAGTCCCATATTTCTTGGAGGCTTTATTTCCTTTTACTCTTTTTTCTCTAATCTTGTCTTCTCACTTTAATTCACTGAGTTGGTGTGTCTCTGATATCTTTTCTTCTGCTTGATTAATTCAGCTATTGATATTTGTATATGCTTCACAAAGTTCTCTTGCTCTGTTTTTCAGCTTCATCAGGTCATTTATATTCTTCTCTAAACTGGTTATTATAGCCAGCAATTCCTCTAACCTTTATCCAAGGTTCTTAGCTTCCTTGCATTGGGTTAGAACATGCTCCTTTAGCTCAGAGGAGTTTATTACCCTCCTTCTGAAGCCTGCTTCTGCCAATTCTTCAAACTTATTCTCCATCCAGTTTTGTTCCCTTGCTGGTGAGGAGCTGTGATCCTTTAGAGGAGAAGAGACATTCTGTTTTTTGGAATTTTCAGCCTTTTTGCCTTGGTTTCTCCCCATCTTCCTGAATATATCTACCTTTGGTCTTTGAAGTCAGTGACCTTCTAATGGGTTCTCTGAGTGGATGTTCTTGTTGTTGATGTTAATACTATTCCTTTGTGTGTGTTAGTTCTCCTTCTAATAGGCCCCTCTGCTGAAGGTATGTTGGAGTTTGCTGGAGGTCCACTCCAGACCCTGTTCACCTGGGTATCACCAGCAGAGGCTGCAGAACAGCAAAGATTGCTGCCTGTTCCTTCCTCTGGTAGCTTTGTCCCAGAAGGGTACCCCACCAGATGCCAGCCAGAGCTCTCATGTATGAAGTGTCTGTCAGCCCCCACTGGGAGCTGTCTCCCAGTCAGGATACATGAGGTCAGGGACCCACTGGAGGAGGCAGTCAGTCCCTTTTCAGAGCTCGAACGCTGTGCTGGGAGGTCCATTGCTCTCTTCAGAGCTGTCAGGAAAGGATATTTAAGTCTGCTGAAGCTGCATCCACAAGAGCCCCTCCCCCCAGGTGCTCTGTCCCAGGGAGATGGGGGTTTTATGTATAAGTCCCTGACTGGGGCTGCCGCCCTTTTTTTCAGAGATGCCCTGCCCAGAGAGGAGAGGCACTCTGGCCACAGAAGCCTTGCTGAGGTACAGTGCACTCTGCCCAATTCACACTTCCCAGCAGCTTTGTTTACACTGTGAGGTAAAACTGCCCATTCAAGCCTCAGTAATGGCAGATGCCCCGTCCCCCCACCAACCTCAATCATTTCAGGTCAAGCTCAGGCTCCTGTGCTAGCAGCAAGAATTCCAAACCAGTGGATCTGTGCTTGCTGGGCTCTGTGGGGGTGGGTCCCACCAAGCCAGACCATGGCTTCCTGGCTTCAGCCCCCTTTTTAGGGAGTGAATGGTTCTGTCTCACTGGCATTCCAGGTGCCACTGGGATATGGGAAAAAAGCTCCTGTGGCTAGTTCAGTGTCTGCCCAAATGGCCGCCCAGTTTCATGCTTGAAACCCAGAGACCTGGTGGCATAGGCACCAGAGGGTATCTCCTGATCTGCGGCTTGTAAAGACCATGGGAAAAGCACAGTACCTGGGCTGGATGCACGGTACAGTCCCTAATGGCTTCCCTTGGCTAGGAGAGGGAGTTCCCCAACTTCTTGTACTTCCTGGGTGAGGCGATGCCCCACTCTGCTTTGTCTTGCCCTCCATCAGCTGCACCCACTGCCCAACCAGTCTTAATGAGATGAGCTGGGTACCTCAGTTGGAAATGCAGAAATCACCCACCTTCTGCATTGATCTCACTGGGAGCTGCAGACTGGAGCTGTTCCTATTCAGCCATCTTGCCAGCAATGTCTGCTCTAACATTCTGCAGTCCTTTTCCCACACCTGTTCACTGTCCCTCAGAGTGGTCATGAGCCATTTCTTTCTGGTTTGTGCAAAAAACCTAACCATATTGGGTTGACTTGGTGGACTCTCTTCTGTCCAACATCGAACCAGGCTTTTGAACACACTTTTGACAGAGTCTAGGAGCCTGCTAGCTCCTATGTAATGGTTCCAAACCCCTACAACAAAAATATTCTCAGTGATTTCGTTTCACATACAGGAAGGGACAACATTAAGTACAGGAGGGAGCTTTAACTAACCAACCTTTCCTTCCCAATAAATGCTGGCCCACAAGTGGAATAGAGCAATTTGTAGACACGTAAACTTGGCCTTTCTCTGCCTATGATTGTCTCTGGGCTTAAGCCAAGCTGGGCTATTTGCCCTCTCTGCCCTCCTTTCTTTCTCCCCTGGAAAAAAAATTATATATATATATATATATATATATATATAAAATTTTGTATAATATATAAAAATTTTGTATAATATATAAAAATCTGATCTTTGAGTCAGAGTCCTTAAGCTGATAATCCTTCCCTAGCTGTAGGTCACATTCATGTTGGGCTTCTGGTTACCTCACAAGCATCCACATATCCATTCTGCTTCAAGCTGCTCAGAATCATCTTTGGGGCCTTGGCTGAGAGGAAGGAGAGGAAAATGCCCCAGGGACCACAGGTGAATCACATCACCCACAGGGCTAACATCTCAGTGGTGAACCAGCAATCCAGAACTTACTCTCTGTCTCTTCTCTCCTCAGGAGGTGATAACTGTCCTGGAAAGGTAAGGAAGGACCTTACCTTTTCTTTGTTAGAAGGGGGACAGCAGAAAGCATATATGCCTATGACAAAGGTTACTGAATTAGAAATACATGCACTGAAGTTTTCCCCATCTGGCTCCCTATTCTGAAAGACTTCGTCCTCTATAAAATATTTTCTGGTCTCAGAAAGCTAATAAATGGACATCTTAGTTGGTGACTGCTCATTAGTAGTTGGATCATAACATCTTCACACAATAAAGTCCTGACAAACAGGGAAATTCTGGGAAGTTCTGGGTCTTCCCAGAATTCAGGCTACTGGGACACGGCCTGCTGGGACTCTTTCTCAGTGGAATCTAACCAGTTACCTGCCAGAAAGGTCATAAGTAAGACCCACAGTGTGGGCAAGATTCCTTGAGGTTCCTTGCAGAAATGATTCAGCCTGTCTCATATGGCTTGCCAATAAAATGAAATTGACTGCATTTGCCTGGTGACCTCAGGCTTGGAGAGGAGAGATAGACTGTCCAAATGCTGCAGAGCCTTCTATAACCAGGAATTCCTGGATAGTAACTAAATCCTGCATTGTTTGCCTCTCACATCTACCCCTGGAGACTGAACACCAGAAGTGTTTGTAAATTTGAGTTGAATTAAATTATCAGAATCTTCCACAATGGAGGTTATTGTGTTAGAGTTTGGGATAGGATTAGGAGACAGGAGTCTCAAACTCTCTTTCCCCCAGGAGTGAGTCCTGGAACCTGAAGGACCTGGATATTGTCTCTCCAGAAATCAGGAGTGTGTGCCACGTGCCAGGGCTGAAGAAGATGCTGAGGACATGTGCAGGTGAGGCAAGCTCTAGGAGTTTTGTGGAGGAAAATGGGGGTACAGAGTAGATCCCCAGGGTCAGGGAGCCTGGATGGCAACTTGGAGGAGAGATTGCAGGTCAGAGCAGGTGGAGCAGAGACAGAGGTAGGGAAGATGGTTTCTTCAAAGGTCAGGGCCAAGGCCAGAGCTGGCCGCTGGTCATTTTCTCACACAGGGAGGTTGACCCCTCATGCTTGCCCTAGAGTTTACACAAAATCCTCCCACCACAGGCACAGAGTTACTGACTCTTCCCATGCAAGGCCTGACTGTGGTCCTCTCTCTGCAGTCCACATCACTCTGGATCCAGACACAGCCAATCCCTGGCTCATACTTTCAGAAGATCGGAGACAAGTGAGGCTTGGAGAGACCCAGCAGAACATACCTGGAAATGAAGAGAGATTTGATAGTTATCCTATGGTCCTGGGTGCCCAGCACTTCCACTCTGGAAAACATTACTGGGAGGTAGATGTGACAGGAAAGGAGGCCTGGGACCTGGGTGTCTGCAGAGACTCCGTGCGCAGGAAGGGGCACTTTTTGCTCAGTTCCAAGAGTGGCTTCTGGACAATTTGGTTGTGGAACAAACAAAAATATGAGGCTGGCACTGACCCCCAGACTCCCCTCCACCTTAAGGTACCTCCATGCCAAGTTGGGATTTTCCTGGACTATGAGGCCGGCGTGGTCTCCTTCTACAACATCACTGATCATGGCTCCCTCATCTACACCTTCACTGAATGTGCCTTTACAGGACCTCTGCGGCCCTTCTTCAGTCCTGGTTTCAATGACAGAGGAAGAAACCAAGCCCCTCTAACCCTCTGTCCACTGATTATTGGATCTCAAGGATCCACCAACTATTGATGGCTTTCTCTGGACACTGCCACTTTCCCTATTGGCACTGCTTCTCAGCCACAAACCTGCCTCTTTTTCCCATGAACTCTGAACCACCTGCTGTCCATGTTCTCAGTAAATGACCAGTGACAACATCAAAGTTCCTGGAGTTCTCTGTCCCTGCAAGGTCAAGGCCTGCTTTCCATGTTCTTCTAGACAACTGGCCAACTCCTGTGCAGAGGCATCAGGATCCCAGCAAGCAAGCTTTAGCAGGGAAGTCACTTCAAAATCAACATTCCTGCCCTGGATGACTTTGGGATTCCCTGCAGTGAAGCAGCCTCCTTATATTTGGCCCAAACTCACATTTTGATCAACCAAAAACATGTTTCTGCCTTCTTTATGGGACTTAAGTTTTGTTTTCTCCTCTCCATCTCTACACTGTTGCTTTTGGTCAGATCTCTATTATATATTGTATGGTTTGCAAAAGGGCTTCCTAAAAATAAAATAAAACTGTGCCTCAGTCTATCCCATTTAGTCCTTGTTCCTTAATCCTGAAATACTTGATAACTCTGAATATGATTAATAATGATGTGTTTTTAACATTGCATGTGTTCTTCTTGCCTGGACTGTCCCCTCTTTATTCGAAATGTTTGATCTTGGACTGAAGACCCAGGTCAAGAGTCTTCTGTAATTCCCCATCACAGCCATTGTGGTGATAGAAGGCCATTTGGGCTCTGATCACTGCCCAAGGGGATATTATGAAATACAAAGTTCTCCTGAGGCTGGGGTAGCTCTGTGGACCTCTGCATCTCTGACCCTCACAGACCTGAAGCACCTTCTGTCCACGTTCACAGTGACAAGTGACAACATCAGAGTTCCTGGAGATCTGTCCCTACGAGGTCAAGTCCAGGCTGCACCCTGCTTTCAGTGTTCTAGATAACTGGCCAACTCCTGTGCCCTTTGGAATATCCAATTTTAATGTCATTGCTTTCTGAAATGCACCTTTCTTGGGCAAATTTTCCTGACCCCTCCAGAAGACTAAATGTTGCACCAACTAAGAGATAAAGAGAAAGGGGATATGTGGGTGTGGGTGTCACCACATCCTCAATCATGAGGAAGGGATTTACATCCTGGAGAAATGTGTATCTGTGTCAGCATGAGCTCAAATTCAGCAGGTAAAGCCATGAGTATTAGGAAGAAAGGGATTAGCTTGTCTTGCAGAAGCTTCCACTGCAGAGGATGAGGTATCCTGTCAGTCAAGGTGAGGAGAGAATTTGTGTGGAGGTAAGAAAAGAACACAGCAGCAAAGAGTAATAGTGAAGCATGGCTTCATCTCCTTCCTGTCTCTCTGACCAGGCTACCTCCTCTCAAACTCCTGCCCCACACCTCCTACTTGAATGGTTTGCTTGTGGAAAGAAGAGTATGAAAAGAAAGCCAAACAAAGAAGCTGTCTAAGTGCCTGTACACAGCCACTAACAAGCCCTCTCCAGCATGTGCAGCTCAGGCTGTGCCCCAGGGCTGGCGCATTGGGATGGGAGGACAGAGAGAAGAGGAGCAGGGACTGTAGTAGGATTAAACATGGCATCTCTGGGAAGGGAAGGGCCCAGGCATCTGACAGCTTCTACAGACAGATCCAGGAGTGTGAGGGAGGTCTCTGGTTTCAAAGGATGGGACACAGACTCCCTTTAGAGTGTCCCTGTAAGAGGGTTGTGGCAACTTCCTTCTCCTACCTTCTTTCAATCCCAGAACATCTCTCATTGCCACCACTTCCTCCCTCAGTTCTCTCTGATAGAAAAAGCCATTCTCCCTGTTCCCACCTCTTTCCTTCCAGATTTAGACTTCTCATCCCTGGATGAAGCCATGCTTCACTACCTTATCCAGCTCACTCTAACCCCTCTTCCTTTGAACTACTCCCTAACACACACACAGACATGTGTGTGCACACATGCACACACCCCTGGCTCTCAACCCACCTTGTTCTTGGCCTCACATTTTACCCAGATCTCAAAGGGCTACCAGTAGATCCTGTTAAGGTCCCCCATGGGGGTAAAGGTCAGAGCATAGCAGCCTGTGGAGCTGGTCTCCCTACATCTCTTGTAGGAATTGTCCAAGCCTAATGAGGGACTGCAAGTGGGGAGGTTAAGGTGTAGAAGGAGATAGAAGGAGTTAGTGTCTGCCCAGGGGAGTGCAGGCACTCCAACATGTGACTCTGATTGCTACTTTGCTACTTTGTTGATGAAATTTCCTCCTGGTTTTTATTTCCTAAAACTTAGGAATTGGGACTGAAATTCTCCCAGTCATGTACATCCTGATTATAATGAAGTTAATTTAAAAAGTATTTCAGTGATTTCCACCAAGATGGCCAAATAGGAACAGCTGCAATGCACAGTTCCCAGCAAGAGCATCATAGAAAGCGAGTGATCTCTGCATTTCCAATATCATGAAAATGGCCTTACTGGCCAAAGTTTGGCCAGTATGGAAATAGATTAAATGCTATCCCCATCAAGCTACCAATGACTTTCTTCATGGAATTGGGGAAAAAAAACACCCTAAACTTTATATGGAATAAAAAAAAAGCTCACATAGCCAAGACAATCCTAAGCAAAAAAAAAAAAAAAAAGTTGGAGGCATCATGCTACCTGACTTCAAACTATATTACAAGGCTACTGTAATCAAAACAGCATGGTACTGGTACCCAAACAGAGACATAGACCAATGGAACAGAACAGAGGCCTCAGAAAGAAGGTCACACAACTATAACCATCTGATCTTTGACAAACTAATTAAACTCCAGAGCTCCTGTACAACAAAAGAAACTATCAGTAGAGTAAACCAGCAACCAACAGAATGGGAAAAAGTTTTTGCAATCTACCTATCTGACAAAGGGATAGTATCCAGAATCTATGGAGAACTTAAACAAATTACAAGAAAAAACAACCCCATCAGAAAGTGGCAAAGGATATGAACAGACACTTCTCAAAAGATGACATTTATGCAGCTAACAAACATAAAAACAAGCTCATCATCACTGGTCATTAGAGAAATGCAAATCAAAACCACATTGAGATACCACCTCACACCAGTTAGAATGGCAATTATTAAAAAATCAGGTGACAACAGATGCTGGAGAAGAAGTGTAGAAATAGAAATGCTTTTACACTGTTGGTGGCAGTGTAAATTAGTTCAACCATTGTGGAAGACAGTATGGTGATTCCTCAAGGATCTAGAAATAGAAATACCATTTGACCCAACAATCCCATTACTGGGTATATATTCAAAGGACTATAAATCGTTCTATTATAAAGACACATGCACACATGTTTATTGCAGCACGTTCAATAGCAAAGACTTGGAACCAACCCATATGCCCATCAATGATAGACTGGATAAAGAAAATGTGGCACATACACACCATGGAATTCTGTGCAGCCATAAAAAAGGATGAGTTGGATTTTTGGACCCAAGATGGCCAAATAGACACAACTCCAATGCACAACACCCAGCAAGAGAGATGCAGAAATCAAGAGATCTCCTAGCTCCAACTGAGATACCAGGTGCATTTCAATGGGTCTGGTCCAATGGTGAGTAAAGCCCACTCAGGGCAGACCGAGGCAGGGAGGGGTGCTGCTTCACCCAGAAAGTGCATCTGACCAGCAAGTCAGAGGCTCCCCGTCTGGCATTCCGGTCCAGATACAGCACTTTCCCCAAAGCCTCAGCAATACACAGAACGGGATCTTTGCCAGTCAAGTGCCGGAAATTACAAGTGTGGAGTTGAATAATAATCCAGGATGGTGTCCCAGATTGCTGCACAGACCTAAACAGACGCATAAGCCCAAAAGGTGGCTGGGATAGCCTGCGGATTGAGCTATCGCACCCTCCCCCCGCCCGGAGAGAGAGGGAGCTATATGCGGGAGCAGCTGGGCAGGCCCCTACCCCACAACCAGAGAAAGAGTAGCCGAAAGGGGAAGACAGCCGGGTCCCTACCCTCCCCCACAAACCCCAGAGGGCTGAAGCTCTGACTCTAGTGGGTTGCACAGCCAGTGCCACAGTCTGAGCTGAACACTGAATGATCCAGCCCAGCAGAGGAAGAGCACAACCCACCATTAGAGGTATGGGACTGGGCTAAATGTTTTAACAAAAAACACAGGAAGCCAACATAGCAAAAGGGCAGCGTTCTTAACAACCCAGCAGTGCCTACAGGTCAGTGGAAGAGGCGGGCCTAATCTCCCAGTATAAACAAAAAAGACAGAGGAAGTTTCCCTCTTAACCTGAAGGAGTCCCTAGAAACCCAATAGCACCTCCACAGGCAGACAAGCGACCTCATTAAGAAGCTCCCTGAGACCACAGCCAGGTAACTCCACAAAGATGGGGGAAAACCAGTGCAAAAAAGATGAAACCATCAAAGACCAGAACACTTGTTCTCCTTCAAGGGATCACAACTCCTCAACAATACAGGATCACAACTTGACCAAGAAGGAGTGTGATGAATTGACAGAAACAGGCTTCAGAAGGTGGAAAATAACAAACTTTTCTGAGCTAAAGGAACATGTTCTAACTAAATGCAAAGAAACAAAAAAACCCTGAGAAAAGGTTAGACGAAATGCTAACTAGAATAACTAGCTTAGAGAAGAACATAAAAGACTTGATGGAGTTGAAAAACACAGCACGAGAACTACATGAAGTAAACACAAGTTTTAATAGCCGAATAGATCAAGCAGAAGAAAGGGTATCAGAGATTGAAGATCAACTCAATAAAATAAAAAGAGAAGGCAAGATAAGAGAAAAAAGAGTGAAAAGAAATGAACAAAGCCTACAAGAAATATGGGATTATATGAAAAGACCTAATCTATGCTTCATTAGTGTACCTGAATATGATGAGGAGAATGAATCCAATCTGGAAAACACACTCCAGGATATCCAAGAGAAATCCCCAAGCCTAGCAAGGCAGTCCAAATTTCAAATTCAGGAAATACAGAGAACTCCACAAAGATATTCCTCAAGAAGAGCAACCCCAAGGCACATAATCGTCAGATTCACCAGGGTTGAAATGAAGGAAAAAATGCTAAGGGCAGCCAGAGAGAAAGGTCAGGTCACCCATAGAGGGAAGCCAATCAGACTCACAGCAGATCTCTTGGCAGAAACCTTACAAGCCAGAAGAGAGTGGGGGTCAATATTCAACATCCTTAAAGAAAAGAACTTTCAAGCCAGAATCTCATATCCAGCCAAACTAAGCTTTGTAAGTGAAGGAGAAATAAAATCCTTTATGGACAAGCACTTACTGAGAGATTTTGCCACCACCAGACCTGCCCTACAAGAGCTCCTAAAAGAAACATTAAGCACAGAAAGGAACAAGTACCAGTCATTGCAAAAGCAAACCAGTTGGCAAAGACCAAAAATGCAATGAAGAAAATGAGTCAACTAATGGGAAAGAAAACCAGCCAGTAACAAAATGGCAGGATCAAATTCACACATAACAATAATAACATTGAATGTAAATGGCCTAAATGCCCCAATCAAAAGACACA